GTTCTGAAAGGGAGGACGCATAAATAACTATATCGTCCATATAAACAAATAACTCTGTGCAATCCGGATAATGCCAGATCCATGACCTGTTGAAAGGTAGCTGGGACATTCTTTAAATCAAATGGCATCCGATTGAACTTAAAGTGGCCATGAGGAGTCGAAAAAGCCGTTTTGGGCTTAGATGCAGAATCTACGGGAATTTGATGAAATCCGGATGCTAGATCTAACGTACTGAAGTACTTAGCTTCGCCTAACTGATCTAATATTTCCGTAATATTAGGAAGAGGATAGGCATCCGCCATGGTTTTTTCGTTTAACCTGCGATAGTCAATAACCATGCGTCATCGAGGCTTCCCAGATGAATCGAGTTTTTTGGGGACAATCCATAAAGGAGAATTATAAGGGGACATCGATGGCTGGATTATTTCGCTCTCAATTAGTGAATTTACTTGGGTTTTTATCTCGTTTTTGTGGATCGGCGGAAATTTATATTGCTTCGTGTTTATAGATAATTTGTCGGTTGTGTTAATGGCATGATGAGGAATATTAGCTGCCTTTAATCTATCACTAGGTAAATGTAACTAATACGGAAACTCGTTGATGATTTCTAAAATACTACTTTTTTCGGATTCATGAAGGTGACCTAATTCAAGAAACCTAAGAATTTCACTGAGCCTTCGAGCGTGATCCTCCGATTTGTCCGCGGGCGGATTTCCTGTACGAGAAGAACGGGGTGCAGGAGGTCGCGAATCAAATTCCTCTAGTTCGACAAGGGGAATTGTAATAGTAACATGGTCGCAAATTGTATTAATTGCGTATAGTTTGACCAGGCCATTTTGTTGGCTGGCCAGAATATCACCTATGAAAATGCCAGGTTCGGCATCAATCCGTTTCGTAGCCCAACTCATTATTATTCCCGACGGGGACCGAGATCAAAACTTTCGTTCGCGGGGGTAAGACGTGTGATAAAAAGGTGGACGCGAACAAATTCTTTTTTTCGAAAGACAGAATACATGGAAAATTTTCTTTAAATTTAAGGGTTGCCTGTTGTTTTTATAGGAACGCGACTCCTAAAATTCCGGCTTCCTTAATTGGAAAGTCGTTATCGACCAGCTGAAAATGTATGGGGGTGTTGCAAATGAAGATGATTATTTCGCCTCGCGTTTGACCGTTCGCGTTTGGATCATGCCGGTTAGATGATAAATTATTTCAATATCAACTGGTAGATCTGATTTTAATTCGCTTTGTTTTATTAGGTTAAGCTGTGAACCTGTGTCTACTAAATATTCAGCGAAGCCCTGGTGAAAATAGTCGTGTGTTAAGAAAATAGCTGGTGATTGCACGGCGCTATTTAAACCGGTTTCATAGCAGACGCAGTGGATTTGGCGCGGGAAATTAGGGGTTCTCTCCGTATCGCGCCTGGCAGCGGAGCCCCTCTGGAGTTTAAAGGATTATTCCCACTATTTTCAGAGGCTAACGTCTCGCGGTCGACACGTTGAATAACCTTTAATTCGTCCTGAACAGCGCTTAGATCAAAACGTTGAGCATATGCGGATTTTATTAAGGCAATCAATTCTTCAATATTTTCCGGTCTATCCTCGCCTACTATGCTGTCATAAACGCGGTATTGTATTCAACCTCGTGCTACAGTAAGCAAATAATCTTTATGTTCAGCTCCTACCATAGAATCGGCAAGTCTACATTGAGCAATGAAATTTCCTACTTCAGATGATTTTCCCTCAAAATGAGGTATTATATTTACTATTTAATCATACGAAATACGCGGCGCGGTTCTCGGGAGTTCGATCGGCATTGAAATTGCATTATTAATCAGGTCACGTGGAGCGGTTTGCTGCGAGGGTCGCATTTGAGTTAGAATGGGATCATTCAATTGGGGGTTGAAGCGGATGTTACGTATACAGAAACTCGCTGTTTGTTTCCGAAGCTCACGTTAATCAATTTTATTTTATCTACCCTCCTGGAATTTGGAGCTCGATCTCCCTGGAGTGCATCCTGCAGCTGCATACTCTTAACATCATCTTCGACTTGCGTTGCGTGGGAAGACTTCTTATCTACCCTTTCCCAGGGAACGCGGCTGCTCACCTCAGAGCCATGAAAATCCTAACCGTCAGATTTCCAAATATGGAAATCACCGACGGATCCCCACCAACATTTAGGGGTATATAAACCCACGATCTTCGTTGCTCGGGGGATTAGAACGATAGAGTTACGTAGAGTCACATCACGTCCATCGTTGCAGAGTGTGCTTTAGTGAGATCGGGCTTCAGTTTCCCTTTCGATCAAGTTAACCTTATAGATCCGCGAAGACGGTTTTCATCTATTATGGCATTTAAAATCACACTCGACCGCCGCATTGCCAGTGCGTTAACACCGTGCAACAATTAGGTAATTAAATTCAACGTTTACTACACACGACCGCGACAACACAACACTACACATTTGTAACTTAGTATAGTTATTCTGAATATATATATTCTTTTGTGTAAATTCAAAGTTTCCTAAGTCAATTACTAAACCTTCACGATATAACAAGCAATCCTAGCCTGTGTAACGATCCCACAACATAATAACTTTGTCGCTCGAGTTATTATTCAATTAAATTAATAAGTTGCGAGGCTTTATCCGCGACGCGTAGTATTCATCAACGATACGATTTAAGCTCAGTGTATTCAACCCGAATTCCCTAATTCAACCTATCCTGCGGTTACCCTTTACTGGGAGATACCGATTCCTGCAACTATCTGACTTCACGTCAGAGTCGTCTGCATTGTCTAACCTATCCTCAGCCTTCGGCACCATTGATACACAATAATTAATCGTATTGGTTCAATTCTCAAATCTACCCCACTCGCTGGGCTCACACGCGCATCGCTATCGCCCTGGCTCGTAACACGGATAAGAGCCCGAAAATACTACGATAGAAGATACGGGCTCGGGCGATGTCGTGAGTATACTATTGCTTATACTTTCGGGAGGAGTAGGCTCGCCGTTTGATGTATTGCATCTTTGCAGCGCAGACAAACCAGAAATCACGAAAGACTCGCTTATTCGAGGTATATTACTATCAAGAGAAGAAGAGGAAGATCCTACGCTGGGGGATTTTACTATTATGTCCTCTATAAAAAAACTCGACATCACCACGCAGACTAGATTTGCGGCACTTCTTGGTCTTTACAAATTTTCTCAAGAATGGCGGCATTTTGGGCTGGCAACTAATAAAGATTGTAACAACATAATTTTTAACAGTCTGGACTTACAAATTTTGTTGACGATTGGCTAAGGTCTACTATAAGGTCGTTTTAACGCTCGCGTGTTCGTTTCTCTTCACAGCAGTTGCTCCGATTTTGGTCGTCGTCAGACCTTGAGCTGGCTGGTCTCCGTCCTGGACAAGGAAGGTCCTTTGGATCTCGAGGTCGACGATGCCCCTGTTGCATGAAGTCTCCCTCGTGTCTCGTTCAGCGATGATCACCCCTTAATCAAGGTCAGCAGGAAGGCCTGATGATGATGTGGACAGAATGCATGTGATTACGATGGTAGCTAGCACGGCCGCCGAAATCACCCGTCTCCGGTATTTACCCTTGCTCTTGGGGAAACCTTGCGAAAACCCAAGAGAGAGAGGATGCACTGATTCTGATGTCCACTTTATATTGCAAATGTTCAATAAAACAGTTCGTAAAATCTTCGATTGTTATTAAAGCGCGTACTCGCGAGCCGGCAGTTATTTAGAAAATTCAAAAGTTCGTCACAATCACTCCAACTACGTTTGTGAATCAAATTTATTTGAAATATCCTACCAAAAATATGTTGCGAAACGCGTCGTGCGGTGGTAGAAAATTTTCTGACATGGGTAAGGTGCCCGTGAGCGCTGAACCGCTCTGCCCGGAGAGGTGCGTGAAATAAAATTCGAAATACTTTTAAGAAAAGGCAAAGATGTTTATTCGGCCGACTCGTTTAGTTTAAAAATCGTTTCGTAGTTCGTTCCCAGAGGTTCGATTACGATTGATCTCTCTGGAAAAATCTTCGCTCGATCTGCTGCTTCTCTTCCTTCTTCGGAAGATTCCCGATCCTCCCTTCGGGTTGTCTTGGTCCAATCGGGGGTTGCGCTCTACTCCTTCTATCGCTGATCTTCATCGATCTCGGATCCACCCCCGAGTCGGGTGGAGGTGGGAGTCGCGCGGCCATGTTTGTGCAGGGCTACATGTGAAAAAGGAAAGCGCGGAGGTCTAGAGAGAGAGAAAACGCGCCACCGAGATACAGCAACCCCCTCTTGAAGAAGTCGCCGGAAACGCGAACCGAGGTACAGCACGAGTTTGTTATTTTTAAGGGTCCTACGAGCTGGAACAAAAGCTAACTCGACTCGAATTTTAAAGAAATCCATTCCAACGGAAACGGCGATTCGACGCGGCCTATAATGGATCTATTAAGTATTTTCAGCGAACGTTCCCTTTTCTCTCCTGACTTTCGACTTTCCCACCCTTGATCACCCACATCGAATGTTTTAACAATGTATATACGTGGCGGTTCGTTGATTCAATGCGTTAATCCATTTGAATTCCGCTCCTAATTTGAATATAAATATATACTACATGCGGTAGTGTTTAAGCTATTCCGCGTTGTGGCGCTACATGCCATGAATCTAAATTCACGTGATAGCGTAACAATTGATATTCAGTCTTTTGCGAGTCACATGGTGTGTTCATCTTCTCGTTAGGTGGACGGACTATAATCATTGCTAGTCATTGTTATCAAAGATGGCGGCAGCCGTGGCACCAAGGGATGTTAATACATATTTGAGTGAAAATCAAAATGTTGCAGACAAAGAATTGGCTGCTGAATGGGCCCAACTTGAAGAACTATATAATAAAAGGTATCGCCTGTTAAATATGTTGGATTATGTTCATATTGCTATAGAAAAAAGTGATGCGACTTTCTTCGTCCGGTGACTTGCAGGCTTTGGCATCAATTGACACTTAAATTAGAAACATTTGTGAAGAATCCAGCGCTTCTGAAGGGAGATAATTTGGTACAACTATACGTTAACTTTTTATCTACCTTTGAAAACAAGTAAGCATATTAGATACTCTTTTTTTCAAAACTTTACACTATAACCTCAGTTTCTTATTTTACGTGTCTATTAAAATGAGTACATAGAAATGTTTACCAATACAATTCTTCAAAAAGAACTTGTAAAGCATTTTTATTTCTAGCTTTATTTATTGTTATTTCTACTAATAAACGTTTTATAATGAATATGTTATTCATGTTTTGTATTTAGAATAAATCCTTTATCACTGGTAGAAATATTAGCATATGTAATACACCAGTTTCAAGATAAACAGGAAGCAATTGAATTTTTGGAAAAAACTGAGCCTAAAGTTAAAAGCAGTAATGAAGCTGTGGCTCTCTGTAAAGTCCTTGCAGGGCAAATTTTATTGGATAAGTTAAATAATCAAGAGCAAACGAAAAAGATAATAGAAGAAGTAGAGGCTATGTTGGATAATGCTGACGGTATTACTACAGTTCATGGCAGATTTTATCTATTAGCCAGCCGTCTCTATCGTTTACAAGGAAAGCATGCAGAATATTATCGCACTGCCCTCAGGTACCATTACATTTGAGAGTTTCGAACAATAAATTTATGTCACAATATAGACCCATAATTAATATTTTTAAATTAAATTATATTTTTCAGATATTTGGGTTGTATTGATTTAAATACCTTAAGTAAACTAGAACAGGAACAACATGCATTTTTTCTTGGTCTGGCAGCACTTTTAGGTGAGGGCGTTTATAATCTCGGCGAATTATTAGCTCATCCAGTTTTACAATCCTTAAAAAATACACCAAACTCTTGGTTGGTTGATTTATTACAAGCTTTTAATGCTGGTGATATTGCTGCATTGGAAAGATTAAAACCACAGTGGAGCAAAGTTGCTGATTTAGCTGCACAGGAATTAAAATTAAGGCAAAAGATTTCTCTTTTATGCCTTATGGAAATGACTTTTAAGCGACAAGCTAATAACAGGTTTGCATCTTTTCTACTTCAATACAAAAATATAAAATAAATACACTATTTATTATAGTGTACACTATTTATTATAGGCAGTTAACATTCGCGGAGATCTCTCAAGAAACTCGTTTACCTCTTGGTGAAGTAGAATTATTAGTAATGAAAGCTTTAGCTCAAGGTTTGGTTCGAGGTGCTATCGATCAAGTAGCAGGAACAGTAAATATGACCTGGGTACAGCCTCGCGTATTGGACCGTAGTCAAATAGCTGGAATGGTTCAAAGACTCGATATATGGTGTAAAGATGTTAGCTCAATGGAGCGTTTATTGGAATCTCGAGCCTCCGAGATTCTTACTCTTTAATATTAGGTTTGACATTCTTTCATCGATTCATTTGTAAGTTGTACTTCTGTATCGTCGTTAACTCATTGGCTTATCATTATATTCAAATGTCCACAAATCACTAACTAAAGTTAGTAACATTGTCATAAGTCAATGGGTTAATGTAAAAGAAAGCATAAACTCCACTTTCTTGAATGTAAAAATTATAATACTGTTTACAGGTGAATGTAAAAAGAAATACAAATTGGTTTTGAACATAACATCCCAAGAAAAACAACTTCTTACAAGTTTTAACGTTACGCATAAAGTAATCATTTGAATTTTGCTTTTTTGTTCACAAACTTTGTACTATGATTGAAATATTTTTCGCGTTTCTCTATTTAATTGTGCATTTATACTTAAAATATCAATAATTTTGTATACATACGCATACTATTTCTGTATATCATATAATAAAATCATGACGTATAAATATTGGTTTCTACATAAAGAAATGAGAAAAAAAATTTCTTTCAAATTGTCTTTTTTGATTCGTGTTTTTTTAATTTGTTTAGTCCTTTAAAAATGTACTTTACTCTTTTAGTGACGGTTGTGTATCATATTCCAGTAATAAAATATAATACAAGAATACATAAAAGCATTAGAATCAATTTTCTCGAACTAACGTACGAAGACGAGACCTTGGTGAAGAAGGGACGACAATTGTATGTCTCTCAGATACCAACTCCCTCACTGTCTGCCATTTTTTGTCTTTTGTCTGTAGTTATCTCCGAGTAGAACCGGACCACGAAAGCGTTAGTATTTCTAGATATTTAGTAATCCAGTAAAAACCATCTAGAAGTTTTGATGAACTATATTGTATATCAAATTATATACAGTATAATGTCATTAATAAAATTTTATGTAGCGAGTAAGGATCTACTATTTAATCAAATAAATATCCCCAATATTTCTCATTGCAAATGCGAGTTTATATTACATTTAGTACTGTTGCAAAAAGTAGATAATGTAGCGCGGCGCATGGTATTCGCGATTATCGTACACAAGGTGGCACCTTACGCCGCTCTATTATGGACACTTTTCAAAATTTGTAATGACTTCATGCATCTCCAATAAAAGGTTTTATAAAGATAAATATTTTAACTTTTAAAATTAATTAAACTGAGAAAATGAGAGTCGGTTAACGACTAAACAAATATTTATCGTTATGTAAAATGCTTATTTTATGAGGATAAATTATACTTAGGATAATATTATAATAAACACACATTAAGACTTTGTTTCAATTATACACAAATTTATTTATTTGTTATATAGTTTGGCTGTTTTCTTTTTTTCTTTGCTCGTAGAATGTTCTCTATTTTTTTTTATTCTTTACCAGGCACTTCTTCAGTTTTTGTGGTTTCTGTAAAAGTAATTTTCATTATTTTTTCAGGTGGCTTTCCAGACTCTTCATCCATTAGCGTGTTCACGCGTTTCAAAGGCACAGCTCCTTTTGCTATAACTTTCTTCCTGAATTCATACTAAAATGACAAAAGTTAAAAATGTTGGGGTGTAGTTTTAATATTTCTATCTTTTGAATATACCGCAATTATCAACCGGTCAATTTTCAGATTGCGGTCTTCCCGTAGTTAATAATATACAAATATGTACTTACTTTATATCCCAGATAGCACAGAGACGTCTTATGTACGTCCATAAGACGTCCGGTACTGGACGTTCGGGACGTCCAGATAACGTCCAAACGTCTCCTGAACGTCCTGTGAACGTCCTGTGAACGTCCCTGGAACGACCCAGGTACATCGCAGGACGTCCCTGGGACGTCCGGCGTGGACATTTTATGTACGTCCCTGGGACGTCCGATGTGGACATTCCCAGAACGTTCTCTGTAAAATTGAGATTCAAAAAAACATTAAATTTTAATTTTATATATGTTCTTTTATTTGTTGGTAGATTTTAATTAACTGTATTTATTTCTTGTAACTGGATTCCATGAAAACCGACGGAACAAATCTTTCAATTTTTGTTTACCTCCGGCGGGATTTCGAACTCACGATTTTCGAATTACAACGCAACCTGCTTCCTCACTTACCCATAAACGCTTTTGCTAACCCGACTCATATTTTAGGCTTCTATAGTGACTCGCATTAATATTGGATACTTTTTAAAATACAATTCCTTCTTTTGAAATTGGTCTAAACGACTTGAACTTTTTTTTGTAAAGTTAGAAGAATTAATTTACTAGATAATTCTGAATAGTTCAAATATTACATACATATCACATCTCATATGTACAAAAAATATTGTATTCCTAATATTGAATAAACATTTTGTTTTACATGTTCAAACATATATTCTGTTGCGAATATTAAATAATGATTGTATACCCAGATAGCACAGGAACAGGAACGTCTTATGTACGTCCACGGAACGTCCGGTGCTGGACATTCCCAGAACGTTTTCTGTACGTTCTCTGTACGTCCATGGGACGTCCGGTGCTGGACATTCCCAGAACGTTTTCTGTAAGTTCTGTGTACGTCCATGGGATGGCGTGGTATCTGAGATAATAATATTAATTAATTAAAGAAATGAGAAAAAAATTTTTCTTTCAATAATTAATAATTAATAATTAATTAATAAATTAATAATAATAATAATCAATAATAATTAATTAATTAATTAATTAATATTAATTTACAATTGTAAATAGTGTATTTTATATTTAAAAAAAAATATTCTGTTCTACATATTGAATAAATATTATATTATAAAGAATATTAATAAATAATATTTATTTTGTTTTAAAAAAAGTATTTTTCCCTAAATCTAGAAAGTTCAGAGCGGAAATCCCTGGGACGAACAAAATTTAGGTCCCATGGACGTTCGCAGGACGTTCCAGCCGGACGTCGGACCTTTGGACGTAAAATGGACATAAAATGGACGTCCGGTGCTATCTAGGATATGACATTACCAACAGCATCACGTACAATTTCTGTACTTTTTACATCGCATATATTAAAATGTTCTTCGCAAACATAAGAATTTGACGTTATTTTTTAATTAAAGAGCTCCGACCACTTATTTAAACTTCTCTCGGCGGTTGAAGATTGCCAAAATTATCGAAATATATGGTGCGAGTTCCCCGTTTTGCGTACGCCACCCAATGAGTACCAGGTCCCTCGAAAGTATCCAAATTTACGATTCCGCTCTCGTTCCTGTGTATCCCATCTATTGGTAAAGTATTGCGCATAAAAATACCCCTGAAATATGGAATACACATATGCTTTGCCAGTTGCTGTAGTTGTACGTTGATGGTTACCCCTTCAGGGATTTTAATTTTGACGTTTTTTTTTCTCTTTGAAACTCCTCGTCCGCGTTTGTACGGCGCGAAATATAGTCCACGACCTTCCATAGCACGATTATGGCGTTACATTTCCTTCAGCTGTTTTTGCGCAGACTTGGCATCATTCACGGCCTTAGCCACGCCAGCAGCACCGCCGGTTAAGGCTCCTATAGCTGATAACGTAGGTAGGAGGAACGGGAGGATACCGCTACGCTTTGCTATCGGTAGAGCTCGCTTCCCCTTCTTCGTACTATGACTCTTTTTCTTCTTGAGCCCCATTCCAAGCTTCTTTTTAGCTTTCATCGCAGTCCAAACAGCTGTAGCAGTCGCCCTTTCGCCGAATGTAGCGTCCTTCGCAGTTATGCGCTGGCGTGCTCGATCAGCTAAAATTCGATCTGCCTTGTGATTGGTCGAATTTTTGTTTCGACAGTACGCAGTATCGTGTTCTTTACAGGGTTTATCCAACGGATTTATACCTATCGCCGCGTGCTAAATGTTTGTCCAGCCATGTACCCGGTCCGCAAAATTGATACCCTGGTACGTGTAGCTCAAACAGTAATTTGTTTATTAGAGTATTTACAAGTCCTGCTCATGTCCTTCTACGCATAGGTAACAATCTTTTTTCATAGGCGTTGGTCCGTCTATGTGCGTACGTTGATTTGGACGATTGTAATGCAAGAGACACCTACGATAAGACTGGACTTCAGGATCAGCTCTTATATGTCTCGGCAGTTTATCCCACACGTAATGAATGTCGCTAGCGAAGCGATTCAAGAGTACTATCTTTGGCACGTATTCCAATTGCTCCACAGTCAAGTCGAACAGTGTATCACCATCGATCAGTATGAAAGCCATTTCTGCACTGACTGATACGTCTAGGTCACGCTAGTATAAATACCCTCCAACATCGATACATACCTTTTCTTTCATTTTTCCCATAGCTACGATGCGGTTCGTACGCCAATCACCTACGATTAGAGCGACTAATGTAGACAAAAAGACACAGTCTGAGAAAGAGGTACACAAACATGGAAATATGCTACCGACCTCTATACGTGGTATCATCTGCGGCCCATCGAATTGCGGCAAAACGAACGTGCTGATTAGTTTGTTAGAAAGTCCGCACGGTGTTCGTTTCGAAAATGTATACGTGTACTCGAAATCATTGCAACAACCGAAATATCTATATCTAGAAAATATATTCTCGTCGATAGACGAAATTGGTTATTTTACATATTCGAATAACAGCGACGTCGTTCCACCGAGCGAGGCACTTCCGAATTCCATTTTTATCTTTGACGACGTGGCATGCGATAAGTAAAACGCGGTAAGAGAATACTTTGCAATGGGTAGGCACTCGGACGTTGACTGTTTCTCTTTGTCAGACATATGCGAAGATTTCGAAGCATCCGATAGGCGACAACGCGAACCTGCTGATCATGTTCAAACAGGATGGTACAAATCTGAAGCATGTATACAACGATCATGTGAACACTGACATGTCTTTTGAGAATTTCTGCAAATTGTGTACCGCTTGCTGACAAGAAAAATATGGATTTGTAGTGATTGACAAAGACAGTGCTTTATGGAATAGTCGCTATAGAAAAGGATTTAATGACTTTGCAATATCGTAATATGTCTAGTTATGTCCGATACGTTGAGAAAGCAGCGTTCCAACATGAGCAATAGCAGCGTTGAAGATCGTGAGAGGATAGCGAAACAGATTGCAACAATGAACGATTTGATTCGTTGAAAGTATCGTGAATTGAAAATTGCTGAAATAGATGAAGAGATTGTGTTGGAAAAACACTTTAAACCTGTTACTGAACCACTGAAGACAATTGTCAGCAACACGTTCAGAAATTATGATCTACACAATAACACAGATATCGGAAGCGAACCATTATCCACTCCGAATATCAAAGAATCAGATAAAATACAATCAAATTTGTGGTTAAATCTCTCGAAACTGCCAAATATAAAAAAAAAAGATTAAGCAGTTTACCCGATATGAACCCGATAGCCTCTACACCGACCTCTACACCGATTAAGACAGTACCAACAACAACAACAAAAAGCTTAGCAAACGAAGATGTTTTTGAAAGTCCAAACAGCTATTTCTCGACATCTGTTCGAAGTCAATTGCAAACGCCGGAAGGCGAAGAAACGGTACTCAATGCTCGGTAATAAACATGTTGACGTGAACAATGCGGATAATATAATTATCGATGGCATACGATATTCGGGGACACCTGGCCAGTATGAACTGATATTCAAGAAAACTCCAGATAACGACATTTACACTGAGCCTGATGAACGCAAATACAGGGACATACTGCTGACAACGAGTGAGCATAAGCACAAGTACAATTCGTATGGTCAAACATTAGGCAATAGAGGATACAAGTATAACCATGTAATCAAACCTTTATTGCAAGATAAAAAAGTTGGAAAGGCATACCATATTCCATGAGATTAACCAAAAACAACATTGATTACGTTCACTGGAACGATCCCAACGAACTCGTAGATCGGCTTCGATTGCTCGAGGCTTCGCGTCAAGCCGGTCACAATGCTCACGACAATGAGATGCTATCGATTATCGAGGAATTTCGCGAGGCAGAATTCATTATAAATTAAGCTGCACCTTGCCGATACAGTCAATCGTCATTAAAATGTCAATCAACAAGTTTGGATCATCGATTGGAAGAATGGAATCATACTATCACTGGAATGGAGTAGTCAGAAATTATGTACGCGACAACGCTCTTTGTGTTGTTGGCACCAGTTATGACGCAAAGTCGTGCAGGATTCGACGGGTAGCACCGCCTGTAGAGGATGGCGTTGCTATCAACAAGCTGTACTTGCACGAAAACATAACAGTTATAAAAAGTCGACAAGACGTATTCGACAAAAAGATGATTATGTTTCAAAATTTCGTTCAGAGCTTGTATTTTATAATGACCACACCGCAATGTATCCATTGAGTCGGGTACGATATACCGCTTATCGTCGTACGGACTCAGAGCGATTTTTGATTCCGCCATTGTGTATACTTTGTGTAATTTTGATCTTATACATGCCTGATTACGAATCATTTCAATTTCGTTTCGTAGGCACTGCGTGTAGTCGTCAAAAGTGTGTCGTCAATTACTCGTTCGATACTATTATACCATTAACTATTTATAAATGTAGCATACGAAATTCAAGAAATACGAAAAGCGAGCGTACGAAACTTCTAGAACATAGGAGGGCGGCCGCCGCGCGGTGCGAGACGCGAGGCGCGGACCGCGAACTCGCGAACCTTCTCGCCTAACGACGCGACTGTTGACAACCGCGACCGCGGATAGCAACCATGCGATATAAATTGAGGACTCGTAGATGTATTCGGTCTATTTGCCATTCCGGGAGAGAGGACGAGGTAAGACCATACGGCCGCTCTCGAAATTTGGCTTAGGGACTCCGGCAGGAGAGTTCGGCGATAATACCTGGACGCCTATTGAGTAAAAAAGAACAGAGCTACTCGTGGACATCCCAGTTAGAGCTAGGGGGAGGTTATTCCTGGACGCCCGTTCGTTTTTGGAGAGTTCGGCGATAATACCTGGACGCCAATTACGAGCGGGAGAGTACAGAATGATTCTTGTATTTCAAAGATTGAAAATTGTAAAATATTGTAAAATGAGAAATTGTATTATGCTCTTTTGTATAATTCCGTTCATTCTGAATTCCTGTTACAATTATCCATTCCCAATCCTCTGTATAACCATGTTCCTCACAATAAACCTTTGTCTGTCCAGAATTCTTTTCCTTGATTCCTTAACCATGGCTACATAAATATTTAAATATTAATTTATGCCAATTAAGATTTCATGAATGTTCAAATTTGACTAAGTTCAATATTAGGATATTCAATTAATTGTCTTCCTAATCATGTTAATATAATAAATGTTCTTGTAATTAGTCAAAATAAATTTGGTTTAATGGACAAAATATACATGTTCCAATTTTATAATATTCAAATATAGGTAAACTTACTAAAATTGAAATTGAAATAAATAATATCAATTTAAGAAATTTATAAATTTTTCTACATGGGAACATCATGAAATCATCTCGATCGGTTACTCGTTGCCGAGTCGTAGCAAACAATAGGAATTTTGCAATAACAATAGTTATAAACATTTAAAAAGACCATAATTTATATCTACACTACACATCTATATGCACAAGTATACACTTCCTTACTCCTGTATAATTATGT